TGTGTAAAAAATAGATATTTTTCTTCACTTTTTCTTCATTTTTCGGAGTTAAAATTGTTATCTCGTGGAATATTCGATTGAAATTATCGTGGCCTTGAATGCTACCGACTATACCACCTCTTGAATTTTGCAATATTGAATTAAAGAAAATCTGAGAGTACAAATATTGTAGAAAAAGATAGGAGGTAGAAGGTTGTTCAATGATTTTAAATACCTATAATAATTAATTCTGTGATTAAAGATAAATTAGAAATTAATTAACAATTTTATTAATAACAAGATATCAGAAAATTTTCTAATGCCAAATTTCCTAAAATCTAAACTTCGAAATCCCAAATACCGATAAAATTAAAAATATTTCTGGGTCCCCTATCATTCGTGAATTTGGAATAAAAATTTTGAAAATCAAATTTTCCATAAAATATACAAACCGTGATAAAAGGAAGGAAATTACGTAGCAAACACGTTTTCACTTAACTCCAACGATAAGTCTGATTCTTTTAATTGCTCAATTTCGCGAGCATGAGTTCTATTTATTAATCAGATCATGGCAATTACATGTACGATGATCAGCTACGAAAGCGCGATTAACGTGTACGCGAACACCCCGCGAGGCGCATAAAGAAAGCAGTGGAACCTAATACCGAGTTAACCAAGAACAAACTAACCATCGCGTATCTATTCCCGACTTCGCGGTTTATCATTCCGCGTGATCTCCGGTTACCCTGATTGAACCCGCAATCATCACTCGACAACCGCAATTAACGCTCAAGTCCGTGCTCATTGTTGGACTGAAGGAGGGACTATTTTTGCCTGGGACCAGGCTAACCGCGAGCAGCCAACGAATCGTAGTCTATCTTCCATTTCGAATGCTATCGTTCCATTCGATCGTGAATTATAGTGATCGCGTTAAACAATGCGACTCGCTGTGATTTCATTCATATCTTTCCTTTTTCCTTTTATTTTTATCAGGAAAAGACATTTGACGAGTCTAGTTTTATTTCTGGGGATATAGTTACTTTTTATTTTGGTTTCGATTCTTCGAGAATTGAAAAATCGAATAAAGTATAAAATTAGCGTTCAATTAATTTTGTTATTATTATAATTATTTCCAACAGTAACACTATTCTGTTATATTTATTTCTGACAATCGTGAAAACGTAAAAATACAAAGCTTTTATTAATCAAGTGCACGAAGCCTCTCATCCAATCTTCAAATCAAAAATGGAAAATAAAACTTTATAGTTATGCCACATTTGATACGGCGGGAAACTATGAATATCAAAAAATACAAGATAAAAATTCGATAACGTGGAAAGATAAGAGATAAAAATTTATACAGTTAAATAATAACTTTCGTGCAATATCCACTCTCAGTATACAAATATACCAATCTTCGACTAAGAAAAAAATATCAATTTCATAACCCGATCGAAATTCAGTAATATAAGAATATATTTATATATATTTAAAAAAGAAAATTAGAGAAATATTCATACCTCATACCACCCCCACTCTCGGTATACTGATATACCTAATCTTCGCTTAAAAACAAAAATCAATTCCGTAATTTGACAAAAATTCAGTAACGTAAGAAAATATATTTAAAAAAGAAAATTCGAAAAATATTCGTACGATTAAATAGCAAGCACAATGCTACCCCCACTCTCGGTATACGAATATACCGAATTTTTATTTGAAATAAAAGATATCAATTTTATAGATCGGTGGTTAACCTAAAATCGGTGGAAGAAAGATGGAGAAAAAATAGTCGGAAAAATAGGCGAAGATCGTGATCACGTTCATGGACGATGCAACGACTAAGGCCCCGCCGACGGCGCAGAGAAAGAGGACAAAGGGAGGTTCCCACGCGAGTGGCGCGAACCGCGAACGAGGCAGCCAGTCGCGGAGACGTCGATAGGATCGGTCGTATGGCGTCGGGTTATGCAAATACGAGTCTCAGCGGGCGTCAATTTAATGGCGAGGCCGCAGGTTCGGCCAGCGCGAACCGCGCGGACCACGCATCTCCGGGGCAATGGATCCTCCGCAGCTTGAGGAGCAGGAGGAAGGGCATACGCCAGTGCTTCGCTAGTGATGGACGTTCGGTTTTCTCCCTTCGACGTTTTCGAGCTATTTGTCCCGTAGGTTGCTTAACCTCGTGTGCTTTTGCGAATAGTTGGGACTTTTGCCCGGTATCGCGGGGCCCGAGAAGGATCTAGGTGGGCCTGATCGATAATTTCTGTGCCCTCACGTGGCAATTGGCAGAATAACAAGTAAAAAGTAAATAAAAGATAACGAGGGAACAGAAGATGATCTATATATCGGGATCAGATACGGGAGGTTGTTGTAGGTATGATATGGTTTGAGGTTAGGTTATAGCAGTGATTTTCAGGAAGCTTATTGCAGCCTCTTACAAGCCTATCACAAAAAGCATTGGTATATTCCTTGGATATTTCTTGCTTACTCCGTAACGTATCAATTCGTTGTAATTGTAATAAATTTTCTAACCTCAAAAAATATTTCACTCAAATTGCAAAATATAGGGAATTACTGCAAAAATTATGTATCAATTGAATCACACGATGGGTAAATGAAAGATATCGAGGGAGCAGAAGATGATCTATATACCGGGATTAGATACAGGAGGTTGTTGTATGTACGATGTGATTTGAGGTTAGGTTATGTCAGTGATTTTTGAGAAGTTTATTGTAGCCTATTACAAAAGGCATTAATATATTCTTTGAATATTTCTTGCTTACTCGGTACCATAATCAATTCGTTGTAATTGTCACAAATTTTCTAACCTCCAAAAGTACTTTATTTAAATTGCAAATTGTAGATAATTATCACAGAAATTGCAGAACTTTATCAAAACCAGACCACGTTCCATAAATTATTTAATATTCATTAATTTGTTAATATCCATTCTAACCTACAAAAAATTGTTATATTTTTCACTACTTTTCTATTACGTTAAATACGTATTTCATGAATATCAATATTCACAGCAAGAGGCAACAATTTTCGTTTGAAAATTACAGAAACAGGACAAAGTGAAGGTATTTATTCACAAATGATGCAAAAATTGGATATCCTCGAAAATTTCGGATGCGAAATTTCGAAAATTGATTCGACAGGAGGTTCGAAGTCGATACGAAGCGTCTTGAGTCCATCACTGACGGTGAAGCAAGTTGCTTTGGTACGCAGCCAGGGGATCAGGTCATCGAACAGAGGGAGGAAAAGGGGGAGAAAGAGGTTGGCAGGCATCCACGGGCAGTATATCACGTGGCAAGGATAAGTTTTTGATCGGCCCTCGGTATACGGATGACTCCCCGCTGCTTGACCTCATCACGCCACGCTATGGGGGTCTTTATAAACCACCATCGACTGCGCGTATCCTAATCACCTTTTGTCTTAAGCCTGCCAAACTCTTCTTCCGAGGCCGGCTCCGCTGGCTTCTGGCAAAGGATCCCAGCCACCCGTTTGCTCTTTCGTCACCATTCGTCTTTGATTCCCTCATCTTTCCTATCATCCTTTCTTCCTATTAGTATATACCTCGTGCATTGCTTATACAGGGTGTAATCGAAATAGGTAGCCTAGGTTTTCCTACCATTTTCCATTTTTCCTAAAAGTGACAGAACATTACGCAAATTTAGGTTAGGTTGCTATATACCTTGTGCATTGCTTATACAGGGTGTAATCTTTTTCCTACCATTTTCCATTTTTCCTAAAAGTGACAGAACATTACGCAAATTTAGGTTAGGTTGTTATGTATCTCGTGCACTGCTTATACAAGGTGTAATTGAAATAGGTAGAATAGGTTTTCCTACCGTTTTCCATTTTCCCTAAAAGTAACAGGACATTATGTAAGTTTAGGTTAGGTTACTATATACCTCGTGTACAGGGTGTAATAGAATTAGGTAGCCTATGCTTTCCTACCATTTTCCATTTTCCCTAAAAGTAACAGGATATTATGTAAGTTTAGGTTAGGTTGCTATATACCTTGTGCATTGCTTATACAGGGTGTAATAGAAATAGGTAGCCTAGGTTTTCCCACCGTTTTCCATTTTCCCTAAAAGTAACAGGATATTATGTAAGTTTAGGTTAGGTTGCTATATACCTTGTGTATTGCTTATACAGGGTGTAACAGTAATAGGTAACCTAGGTTTTCCTACCATTTTCCAATTTTTCTAAAAGTGACAGGAGGTTATGTAAGTATAGGTTAGGAAGCTTGTTCTCTTTGTAATGAAATATTTGTTTGTATTAGAAATTCATGGAAATTACTGTCATATGTAGAATTATAGATATTCTTGATTAATTGCAGATTAGGTTATAAAAGGGAATCTTAAATAGAAATTAGTATACTATTTATTCTGTATACTGAAGTATGTAAAATTGATGTAATATCTAACTAAAAATATTGTAAATCACTTTGAGGTTATTGATTAATTAACTTACAATTTAATATAAATTATATCGTAATCATGATGTCTAAATAATGAAGGTTCTATTATTATAGTACATTTTGATTATTTCACTATTATTCTATCTGTATATCTTCACATTTCACACACTTTCTTATACATTTCAGCATCTTCTAAATGTACAAATATTCACAATCTACGTAATATTTTATCCTGTCCAAAGCCAACAATAATTATTCATACATATGAACATAACCACACAACAGTTAATCCAAATACATACTCTAAATCAATATTTCAATAAACCATTTGTAATATTATACATTCTGCTACAGCTTCAAACTCCATACACAAAATAAAAACATAATTACTCTATTAACATATTACTGTCATCCTACAAATCACAATCATATGTCAAATATGACATACACACAAACCACCCTAAACGTCAAATTTATCGTACAATAAAACCAACATACCTAATCAATGATCTTCATCTGTCTCACAAATCAATTTCAATCGAATCCCTGACACTTGACACGGTTTTGAGGTTATTCGTCAGATGCTCGCTCAAAAATGAAGCACACGGATTGGAAACCAGCCTGGGTCCGTGGCAACAAGCTCGAAGACATCGTCTGGATCGGGAAGGACACGTTGGCCTGGTGTACCGGTGTCCACGTCATCTTTTTCAACATCGTCCAGAGAAAGAAGAGCATTTACTGGTGCTGGAACAACGAAACTGGAGAGGGTGCACGGTGTCTCTCCGCACACAGCAAGCTCTCCGTGCTCGCCTTCTCCGAGCGGATCGTGCAACCGAAAATTCTCGTGTTTGCTTACCCATCGATGACGAAAATCTCCGAATGCACCGGTGGCTGCGTTTCCGGGTACATAACCACTGCATTCACCGCGGGAGATTACCTGGTTTCCATCGATTCCTACCCCCTGTTCGTGATGACCGTCTGGAAGTGGAGAACAGGCGAAAAAGTCATCACTGTCGATACCTCTATACGCGACGAAGTTGGACAAATTCTGAGAATCACTCAAATTGGACCCAACGTTGCAGCTCAGTTGGGAAAGACTTGTGGCAAGTTGTACACTTGGGAACTGGATATCGCTGGAAGCGTGGCCATTTTGAAAGGCAAGAACCTTATCCTTCCATTTAAATTTACATGGTAACCAGATTAGGTTATGTTATTTTTAGGTTATGAAATTTCTCTCAATATTTATAATTACAATTTTATTTCTAATTTAATATTTTTTAATTATATTCTTTTAAATATCTATTGTTTACAAAATATTGCAATATAAGGGACACGTTGTAACATTTGTTATAAAATTAGGTTAGGTTATGAAATTTCTCTTAATATTTATAATTACAATTTTATTTCTTATTTATAATTACATTTCTAATTTAATATTTTTTAATTATATTTTTTTAAATATCTATTGTTTACAAAATATTGTAATATGAGGAACGCGTTGTGACATTTGTTATAAAATAATCGAGAACAGGAAATAATCGAAAGTAAATAGACAATTTGACATTCTTAATTACACAGTCGTATCTACTTAGCTACACAATTTTTGGGATCAGTATATTTCCTCTTTGAAGTCATTTTCGAATTAATTGTTTTAATATCCAAATTCTAGATCACGAGGTGAAGCTTCCGAAAGACGAGCCAATCGTGTGGGTAGACTGGTCTCCAACGTCCACGGAGCCATTGCTAGCTCTCACTGACACAGAGGGCCACATATACCTCAGCAACTTCGACGGCAGTGACATCTACCGCATCGTGTACACCCAACGGTGTGGCATCTGCACGAACATAGAAGTGCCCAGGGTCGCATGGTTCCGAGATGGCATTGTCCTGCGAACGACCTTCTGTCAAATCCGTTTCTTCAAGAGGAACCCAAGAACGAACGAATGGCGAAGAGAGTGGTACGTGAAGTCAGAGACGAGGCCGCACTTCCTGGTGACCCATCCGTTCGGAAATCAGTGCCTGTTTTACTATACCTTAGAGGGGTATCTGATGCAGATCGAATTCGCGGACGACGCCGACAATCCTAAAGTTGTCAGGTACCTCGACTACGGCGCCACCTACCGATTCGCCGACTTCGTGTATCCCTGGTGCCACCATCTCGTCGTTATGTGCGACGCGAAGAAGGAGCTGATAGTCTTGGAGAGCTACGAAGGGACACCAGTGGCGTCCATTGATCCAGAGATAGAGAGCGAAGTCTCCTACCAAGCCTCGCATCCAGACTTCCCATTGGTAATTTTGGCAACGGAGCAGGGTGAACTGGTGTTTACTACTCTCGCTGAACCGGGAGACCCTAAGATCGTGGCTAGATTGAGGCTGCAGAGGACGCCTATAGACTTAATTAAATTCTCGAATTCCGGGAGGTTAGTGGATCCATTTGAACCTGATCTTCGAAGTGGGTTCATAATACTTGCGTTAAAGCTGTAACTTGAGTTCAATTAGGTTGTAATAAGTAGTCTTTGATATTCCTTGGCTGAGAGGATCTCGACCTTCTTTATGTTCGAGTTCCTTCATTAGTAGCTACTTATGCGAGCAGTGAAAAGGTAGAGTTCGAAACTTTTAAGCAACTAACTTGATGTATTTCTATTAATTGTTTTATAGTGCTATGTTAGATATATTCACTGATACAGAAAATATAGCAAATATCCAAAATACTGGCTCAAGTAGACCAAGTCAAGTCAAGTTCTTATGAATCCTCTTAGTAATGTCATCTCCTTTTTAAACGCAAAGATTACAAAGGGAGAGCTATGACAGTCTCTTCCTACCTAAATCACTGATAGACACCTTCCTATTGTAACAGGTTCATGATAGCTGCTGAAAAGAGAACTGGCGACTGTTACTGCGTGGGTCTTCAGCGAGATAAAATGTACTCTGTGAAAGCTCTGATCAAAGTCCGTCGACCAGTGGTTGACGTCCTAATCTTCGAGGGACACAAGAAGCTGAGAGTCCTGGCTCTTTTCGTTGGCATAAAGCAGTACTTCGTGGGACAAAGACTGCTCCTGTACGAAGTGTCAGAAGAGCAAAACCTGGTCACCGAATCCATCTACACGTTGAACTTGCCTGGCGTGTACCGTGCCCTCTGGCACGTTCCAGGGAACCCTATGTCGCTCATAGGTTCGCCGTACCTGACACGTCAGCTGCGAGTGCAGAGGGTACAGGACTTCAGGAATGTGGTCATAGAGGACGGTTTATTGACTGGTCATCAGGTTAAACTAGCTAATTTGTTCGTCGATCGGTCGTGGATCAGTACCACCGCTCTTGATGGATTGGTTTTGATCAGGGATAAAACGATACGACGAGTGATGGGGCATATCATGACACACCATAGGTCTGATTGGGGCACCACGAAGGCGGTGGCGAATAGACAAGGGGATTTGATCGTTTGTTTGGGTTACAATGGCTCGTTGATCGCGACGAAGACTGCTGTCAGTGATAAAAAGGTTCGTATACCTGTTTTATCCCTATTTTTACACCAGCCCCGGAAGATATTGTACCAGGACAAGTTACGAGTAATTGCCCGAGTTGTGTGTTCTTATATAATACACTCCAAGAAATTTACTTACTGTACAACCATTCATATGGTAAATTCTAACCTCGAAATGGGGATTTGCGAATTTTATATTGACCTTCCTTCTGCTTATTATTTGATATCGATATACGAACAAATGACATCGTTCAAGTGTGCTATTAGCCTATTCATAATCTTGTTTATTTGAAATATCACTGTAATTTAAAATATTATGGGGAAATTAAAATTCACAGTGATGGTGGTCCTACAATTAGACCTAGAGGGATCACAATCACCTTGAACAATTTTAGTCTTTTCTCGTAATTAATCTTCCCACGTTTGCTCTTCCTTCTTCCAGAGCAGGAGACCCCACAATCAGAATCCATCTCTCCCAAGGAAACACCTCGTATCTACAAAGTGGAACACGGATTTTACGAAAAAGTCAAGAAAAAGATCAATTCCGACTATGCTAACCTGGATCCAACGATTTACGAGGTATTGATGAATCCAAAGTACGAGTTGCCTGATACAAAAGAGGGAGACAAGACCTGGTCAGATTGGAGGGACGAGATGCAGCTTCGAGAGGAGGAAGAAAAATGTAGGGAAGAAAGGACAGCCATTTTGGCGGACTTCGAGGTTCTACGAAGCAAGGTGAAGAAGTTACTGGATGCCAACGAAGCTAGTCCGGAAATAGAGAAGCTTCCTGTATCAGCCTTTGATCTGGACATCGCTGGTCGTGACCAGAAATTGAAAGCAGGCCGAGACGTATGCGAAAGTCTTCATCTGGAGATGGAGCACAATATTTTTGAGATGAAGAGGGTGTCCAGGTGGATCCGAGAGACTTTCTGGGATTCCCAAGAAGTCCAGGGTAAAAGTCTGTTCGCTATTTTGGGTACGACGGAGGTGACCAACTATCCTTCAGTCGCTGAAGATCCGTACGAGAAGGACCATTTAAAATGGGCTATTTTCTGTAAGAAAACTGCGTATGGCATTTTGGAGAACGATACTTTCGAACCTTGGAAGATGTACACCGATGAACAGCTGCAAGTGGAGTTAAATAAGAAGCAGAGGGTGTTTCGCGAGGACGATAGGAGGATCGATAAGTTGCTCAACGCTGATGACGAAGATGACGATGACGATGTTGACGATGATAACAAAGATCTGGACAAGGAGCTAGAGGAGAAAGAGCTCGCTGAGATGGAGATGGAACAACAAAGGGCTATGGAAGGCAAGCATACATGCGTTTGGAATGAAAATAATAGACAATTTTCCCCAAACATAACCTCAACTCTGAAATCCTCTTATTCGCAATTTCATACGTGTATGTTTATCTAAAGGTACAACTACGCATCGGTACATCGAGCAGTCGAACTTGTACCCTCAAGTGGGGTACTACGGATTCAACCAGATGATGATAAACAATCGCATACTGATGCACGATTGCAGCAACCTCCGAGCTTTCTTTAATCGCTCCTTCGACGAGGTGTACTCGACTAAGGAAAGAGAGATGCAGGTGATACGAAAGAGGATCGAGAAGATACACTACATTGACTCGGAACTCAGAACCATGTTCAACAGCAGCGTGTCCTATGTCCCTGCTTATCCTGAATGGCACTGGCAGGTTACTTGATTCAGTCAGATCGTGAAAGAAAATACTTAGAACCTCTGGCTTGCTTATTCACATGATCCAAAATGTATATAAGAGATCTTGAAAACTCGAGGTATCATAACCTAAAAGGGTAACCATTAGCACTATCTTATACTTAATTCAATCAACCTCTGACATTCTTATTTACATGACTCAAAATATATATAATATAGAAATTTTGAAGACTCGAGATATCCTAACCTAAAAGGGTAATCAGTAGTACTACCTTATACTTAATTCAATCAACCTGTGACTTTCTTATTTACACGATCCAATATATATATAATATAGAAGTCTTGAAGATTTGAGGTATTCTACCCTAAAAGAATAGCCATTAGTAGTACCTTATACTTAATTCAATCAACCTCTGACTTTTTTATTTACATGGTTCAAAATATATATAATATAAAAATCTTGAAGACTAGAGGTAACCTAACCTAAAAGGGTAACCATTCAATTTTGGTATACTACCTTATACTTAATTCAATCTTAACTATACTATAGAAAATTATGCAAGTTTTCACACAACTCGAGCAAAAGCAGTTATCCATTCTTCATCTATGTTAGTCATACCACGAATCGCCTAATAATCACTTTAGATCAACAGATCTAAGTAAAGTTTGTGCGGCGCCATCTTAATCCACGAGTTGGCGGCCCATTCAGCTTCCTTTTTCGCGCGTAGGAGAGAACGGAGAGCATTATCAAGGTGCAGGATCACGAGGTGAAGGCGAAACCCTACGTTTCCCCGTCGCAGCAGGAACTGTTGGACAAGCAGGCAGCGGAGGAAGAACGAATCAGGCAATTGTTGTTGGCTGACGACTTTCGCGAGCGCGCTCTGATGGCGATGATGGACGGCGTGCTGGAGGTCCGATGGGAGGACACCATCAAGATAGACGTGCCCAAGCCGGCTTGCATGCTCGAGAAGAAACCGGAAGACTACACGGAGGACGATATATTGGCGGTGAAGCAGTACGAGAAAGACGTGAACTTCCTGTTGGAGGAACGGGAACGGTACAGGAGAATGCTGGAGGCGGAGTATGGCAGGGTCATGGAGCTTTTGAGGGAGGGAATTGATAAGTTCAATGGCAAGCTGGACGAACTGTTTCGTGTAAATATTCAATTACAAGTATTGCAAGTATTATATCGGGTGTTCTGAAAAGATCGTACCGATTTTGAAAGAAAATTGAAACGCGGGAAATTTAAATTTTAATATACCTTTATTAAATTACATAGGTGCCATTTTGTTCTACAATCTTTCATCATCTTTAGGGCAACTTGAAAATTCCGTCCTTCCAGAATCACTCAGGTTTTTCAATTAAAAATAAACATTTTTTTAATAGTATTCCTGTTTAGGGCACGGCCTGCTAGGTTGGGCCTTACCGATAAGTCCACTATCTTAAGGCCCAGGACTAAACGTATCTCTTCTTTTTCCTTTCGCCTCTTCTAACACCACTAAAACACTAAGGATATCTGTCACAACAGCAAACATGGGAGGGAGGGGTGGGGGAGGGCCCCACATATTAATTATGAGATTTTAAAAATGAATTATCCAAAAATGTGCAAAAATTTTCGTCATATTATTCCGACATTTTTAACCATTCACAGTTGAAGCTGAACATCGAAGCAGCCATCAACCAACTATACCTGCGATACATCCGTGGCTGGGTACTGATCCGTAAACGATTCCTGTCCCTGCAAGAGGAAGATAGATTAAAGAAACGGATCACCGAGAAAGAACAAGCCCAAGAAGTGCTAACGAAGCATCTCGAAACGTTTCACAACGTTTACGAAGAAATGATTGCTAAACAGACATCTCTCGTCAGCAAGGAGAAAACCATAGCCAAGAAGTTCAAGTCCGAATTCGCGTCCTTAAACAAATTTCAAACCGAGCTTCTAGAACGTCAATACTATCGCAGACCAAGAATTCATTTGAAACACCTCGGGGCTTCTGACTTGCATGACCTAGCAGTTCACGTGATCTCACGAAGGTTTTGCGTCTATTCGCCATTTGAGTGCAAGGAGTACCTGAGGATTCTGAACCACTTGGACGTTCGACCAGTCACCCTACCATTAACCATAGAGACTCATCATTGGGAGGACCTGGTTCGCCTGCGACGTAACAAGATCGAGATAGATCTGAAGATTCTAGGAAACCAGGCCGAGATCGCGTACCTGGACAACGTGATCATGGGGTTCGAACAGAAGATAGAGAAATGCAAAACCGACGTGGAGAATATGAAGAAGAGCCTGATCGAAATGAGGGAACGTCGAACTATGGAGGAGTTGGACGTGGAGATACAGTTGGTGCTGAAGATGGGCCAGGTGGAGATCAATCTTGATTCTCATTCGAACGACACAAACGATGCGATTCTTATATCGAAAACGGACATCGACTCTGTGAATCAGCTGATTAAAGCTGCTGGCGCGTGCAAGCTCAAAGCATTGTCCCGTCTGCTGAGCTTCCAGAGAGGTACCATTCTTGTTAGCCTTTGGTTCCTAGTTTCCGCGTCTTTTTCGTGACAAAAAGCAATTAGCTACTGTAGGCAGGTGCAAGTAATAGCATTTGTCGTGCAAATGGTCAAAAGAGGGTTTGTGGAACCAACACCCATACAAATTGAAATGGCTATAGCAATTCAATATGTTCTGATCCCTTCATTTATGCAAAATTATTAGCTCACCACGATATTAGTCGAATATGTCAATAGGATTGAAAATTTTAATCAGAAACCTATACAAATTGTCAATGTCTATAGCAATTCGCTGGCGAATGAAAAGCATGGCGAGAAAACGCGAAAAATAGGGGATCGAGAGGTCACCGGTAAGACCTCGGATTGGTTAATGAGTGAACGAAGCTATTAACACGTTAAACGCCACATCGGTCCCTAGGGACTTTCCGCCCAGACCTCGCCGGTCCCTAGGGACTTTCCGCTCAGGTTTCGTCGGTCCCTAGGGACTTTCCGTTCAAGTCTCGCCTGTCCCCAGGGACTTTCCGTCCAGGTCTCACCGGTCCCTAGGGGCTTTTCGTCCAGGCCTCGTCGGTCCCTAGGGACTTTCCGTTCAGGCCTCGCCGGTCCGTACGGCCCGGAAGGGTCCGGATAGTGGCTAACTATAACGTGAACGGAACGACCTGGAGTTTAACACGGTTTTGTGTCGTTCCGTTCACGCTATAGTTAGCCACTATCCGGACCCTTCCGGGCCGTACGGACCGGCGAGGCCTGAACGGAAAGTCAAGCATCGGTCCCTAGGAACCAGCATGGCGTTTAATCAATTATTAATCAGCGTGCCTTATTGGCATCTCGAGGCGCTTCCTTTAACTACTCGTAGAAATCAGCATTTACCAAGCGTTCCACAGGAACACATCATTTTGTACAAAGTGAACCTCACTCTTGGAAACGAAATATTTGATGTGATATCTTCCCTAACATCAGATATCCATCTCCTATAGTACCCTGTATGTAAAGACACAGGATTCCAAGCTAACCTAAGTATACCAATTTGCAGGTACCCTGATGATGCAATGGAACCACGAGTGTCAGAAGAACAGACTGGAGGATCTGCAAGAGGACCTGCGTTTCACGGAATCGGTGATAGTGACGAAAGAAATGCAACTGTTCTTGAAACGCAAGGCCAAGGGCCTAGCTGACGATAAGACGCCTCAGCAATTGGACGACGACATCGCGGCTGTGGAACGACAGTTCAGTAGACTATTGGAGGATGAGCAGGCTAGGCTGCAGTCGATCCAGAAGGAGATCGCTTGCGTGAGGAGGAAGAACGAGCAGCTCGATCGGCAGATCTTGGAGATGAACGTGGCGAGGTGCGAGATGGAGCAGCGGCGAGATCTTATCGCCGAGGCCAGGCAGCAGGAGCACATGGAGAGGAAGCTGCGGATGGTGATGCGCCGATCCGAACTGATCAAGAAGCTGCAGGATAATTACGCCGAGCTGATCGAGCTGCAGACCGAGCACGAGCTGCTTAGGCTCAGGCGATACCCGACCTTCCATTTCACGATGCTCGATGATAATCACGAGGGGAAACAAAAGGACGAGCCTACAAAGTGTCCTTGTTAATTCGCTCTCCCATGCTGCATCTTTCGATGTTCCGGTGATCTTATCACCTAGTTAGGCACTAGACTAGGGATATTGAGAAATTAGAATTTATGGAGTAAAATAGGATGATTTTCCGTGGACTTTTAAAATTTTTATTTAGGTTGATGATGACTGGAAGTAATAAAGAGGTATATGGTTAGTTGATCTGTCATTGGATGATACTTTATTTGGGAAAAATTAAAATATTTTTGATACAGTAGAAGGTATCTCGACACTTGTTTGCAATTACTGGTAAATAGACTGGAATAAAAGTCTATCAGGTTTAAAATTCCGAATCTCTTTATAGAATTTGACCATATTCTCGCAAACAGGTGTCAATAGAAATCAAAGAAACAGGGGAACGTAATTTCAATAATTGCACGAAGCTTTAGTCAGCGATAGAAATTCGCGATTTCAAGTTTTGAAAGGCTGGATTTATTTAACTGCTCAAAGGGAGGCATCGACTGAATAGAAATAGACACTAAGAGTTAATTGGAACAGGCGTGTTTGCTTCGAATAGCATTTACTCAGCTATTGCAATTAAACCTGCTGCTACTATTACCCAGTGACAAATTTACCGCGATTAATTGGATTATTTCACGATCATAAGAGATCAAGAATTTCATAGCTTCGCAATGAATGTAACCGAAGCGAGAGTCATCATCATCCAATCGAAACCATGGAATAAATTTTTATTATTCTCTGTATTATACTGTCACGAAGTTAGAGGTACATTTAGATCACGGAACATTCGAATATTAGAAAGTCGAGATAGGAAAGCATCCACGGCGTGTTCAGCAGTGCGGCGTCATTCGAAACAAATCACTCAAGAGGCTAACACCTTCCATTACACTTACCATTACCCGGGAGAAAAACGAGAAACATCATCCAGCTCTTCTCAATCCGATACCGGTTACCATCCCCCGTGAAAGTCCACGGATCTCCCGCCTCCTCGACCCGACAGGATAACCACAAAGTTTACCGACGCTTTCCCGTGTCCACGCTATAGACATTGTATCACGAAGACCACCTTCTAAACGTGGCTGAGTTACGGCTGGTCGAAAGGATTTAATCAGGCCCTCTTTGCCCGCTCTCACAAAGGACAAGCGGCAATTTGCAGCGGCACATAAATCACCCGGGGGGACCCGCGATGCATAATAGTCGCCGCGATCTATACTCTTTTTCACCATAAATAACTGTACTAATAGTAGAGCCGCGAGATGAATGATCCGACGCGCGCTATAGCCGCGGAACCGTTCGCGTACGAATCAATTTCGTGTCCCACGTGTTCCCAAGCTGGACCCGTTTTTCGGTCTAGCCCCCCGTAGGATGGAGGGCAACGAGGGAAGAAAAACTTCGGACTCATCACGCGACGATTAAACGCAGAATCCTCTTGTGAAAGTGGCATTCAATGTCCATTTGAATGGATCATGATCGAGTGTGTTCGATTCATATTTTATGGTTGGAATTATTGCCTGGGTTAGGCTGACTGCATTGTTAAAGGAGCTGCGAACTTTTGTTACTGGGGAATTAAAGATGGCGGTGTAAGACTCGTGTCATCTAGGGGGCGCTGCGAAAGGGATCTTTGGAGGTTAGGTTGACGCAACGTGATGTTTTAGTATGTTAACCCTTTGCGGAAAAATAGGAATTGGAAGACTCTTTGCTATAAAGCAGACGATATTTCCAAAACGGTAAATGAGAAATCGGATACAAATTAATGCTGAGAATTATTTTATTTCATTTCGATATTCCACTCATCGTTACGTTGTTTTAAATTTGATATATTGATTAACATCCATCTTCGAAGTTCGATTAAATGGCGACTTAGGATCGTCTCTCGAGTGCAAAGGGTTAAATATGTTGGAATAAGTATAAATTTCGTGGGTCAGTAGTGGGATTTGGGTCTTAAGGCACTTTGTTATTATAATGACGTTCAGGAATTTTTTACTTTGAAAGGATTTCTGTTTTCTGGAGTTTTAGTTGATATTAGTCGTTATAACCTATATGGACATTTACATACTTACTTTTCACTGTTAATAAATTTTATATCTATTGTTCACTATAGAACTGTATTATATACAGTAATTTCTCTATATTTCAATAGAGAAATTATAACAGTAAAGAATTGGAAATAAGCTTCTATTGCTGACAGAAATTGGAAAGTAAACCGAGTATTGAGGTAAATTTGGTAATTTCTAATTACTGCTGCATTAGTTCAAAGTGAGTTCAAGTTTACCATCTTTTATGTTTATTATGTTTATTGTTAGTAATCAACTTGTGAAAATTTCCAGATTTATGGATGGAATAGTTAGATTTTTAAAATTAATTAATAAAATAAAAATTTAATATTAAATTTAATTATTTGGAATATTTGGTAATATCAATCTAGTAATTTGGTAATTAATTATCTAATTTATGGTGTAATAAGAAATAGGAAATATTTTAAGAAACATCTCCAAATTTTTCGTCGTTAGTGTCAAGATCTGGAGGTATAGTCACGTATTACAGATCCGTGGTGGTATTGTATTTGTTATACTACTACTGCGTGTAAGGAAATATATTGTATATGACGGTCACTTCACAAGCTTACAAGCAAAACTCGTTTGTTACACGTGTCCTTTGAATATTCTTATGCTTGTATTCATCAAGGCATTACTTGTATTTCAACATACAGTGAGTCACAGTATACTCGTTTCCTTTCAACTCTCAATTTTGATATATGACTTGCTAGAATATTTTTGTCCGCTTGAAATTAGATTTTAATTGGATTTAGAACTAACCTATAAACTATCAAAATTTCAAAAGGAAGTATAAATTTTTTCTAAGTTAAATTCTTCTGATTAAAATTAAAATACCTGGTCCATTTTATGCCCTCTGCGAGCCTCCTTGCAAAGATTATTCGATTATAGGTTAGGTTTGTAACAGGTTTTCAGGATTATAAATATATATATATACTTCTAACTTTCATAAAAATTTATTCGAATTAATGAAAAAACCGATTCAAATAATTTTTTGAGTACTAATTAGATAATAATTATTTAAAAATACCTGTTCTATTTGATTCCATCTGCAAGCCTTCTTTCAAAGATTACTCGATTATAGGTTAGGTTTGTAGCAGACTTTCGGGATTATAAATATACTTGTAACCTTCCTGAAAATTTATTCAAATTAATGAAAAAGCTGACTGAAATAATTTTCCAAATGACGATAACAATTTTCCAAGTATTAATTAAGTAATAATTATTTAAAAATGGCAATAATTTATTATTCGAAATAATAAATCCAGTCTAGTAATCCTACGATACGTTAACATAACCTCAACAATAGAGGCAAGAAATTCCACATTTTTTCACAATGTCACGCGATCCCTGGGATTATCAGTGGTACGTGAAGAACGACCATAAAAAGGAATGGACAGAACGAGCCCTCGATCTCGAACTGTAAATATTTTCGCCCTAACGATCGTATGATTTTTATTAATGAACACTCGGGGACCAAGGGTGGCTTTGTCCCCCAAATATTATGCTGGTTGAAGAGGTTATTCATCGGCTTCCTTTTTTGTTGCCGCGGTAGCCGTGACGGGCCACGGAATCCGGGATATCTGTGACCATCGATCCATTAATCATCGTTCCGCCGCTGACATCGACATAATACTGTCATCGTTACGTAAAAACACGAAGTCAACGTTACGAGAGTGCCACTTACGACAATTCCTGTTGCTCGCCGAGTGGAACGTTCGATAGGTAGTTGCTCGATGATTAAAGAACCCGAGGAAAATTTGAATAATTAGTTTGTTTATATAATTTATTATTTTTTACTCACGATACACATGATCGATATGAAACGATATAATTATGGGATACAAATGAGTTGAATTTTGCGTGATATTTATTCGTGTTTTTCTAATTATTAACTGTCATGTCCTGCAATGTTTTCAATATTGGTTAGAGAGATCGATAAAAAGAATTAAATTGCTGATATCTCGTGGAAAATTGAATTTTTATATATTCCAAGACTGCAGATACGTTTTGGTATAAGTATTTATCTTTGAAAGTATACAAGTCAAGTAGAGTTAACCTCAAATGTTACCAATTGAGATGTTAGGTTAGGTTATTTGTGCCTAATCAAACTAACCCATAGGGACGTTAGGTTAGGTTATTTGTTCCGGATAATTATCGATTTTATTACTATAAAAATTATATTCTTATTCAACGACTGGTCAACGCAATATTATCATGATTCAAGCAAGCCCAGGAAACTATGGAATCACACACCCAAAACCGAAATCGACTGTACCAAAATATTTTAAATAAAATAATAGAAGGCTTGCAATATCATAACCTCCAATCACCCAGTGATGAATAATATTTCTATTACTTTATTGTTAGCACTAATATGACTCAATAATTATGCGTTTCAAATCACAGAAAAATTATACTAATCTAAGTAACGCAAGAAATTCCAAAGATAAAGAAACTCTAGTGACTCGAGTTAAAGGTTAGGGTTTCCGAACATGAGAGCCCAAAATTTCCGATTTCCGAAATTAGAAAAATTCTTTTTTCTTTTTCCAACTCCATTCAATTCTTGCAATTTGTCCAATGGACATTCGACAAGACGTTTCCATTGCGTACACGGCATAAGGGTGCTAATCCCTTCGGATTAGCGTTTTCACAGAGGTTATGTTACATCGGAGCTCGTATCAGCGAGTCCTAGGTTTGTCTCCTTTTTAATCCTTTGGATATTTCAGTGACGTAGAAAGCGTTGGCCAACGAGTTCGGCTAATTCGGTTGGAATTAGCCGGGAAGAGGACAGGAGCGGCACACAGTGGCGCATACGCGCGATATTACCGGCCGGTGATCGGAGAAGGGGGTCGGTTATCGGGAAAGCTGGCACTCCAATCAATGCAAATCAAATCGAGAGCCGTGAATACGAAGCGTATAGTCAAATCAAGCGAATAAAAGCTTCATGAATGTAAAAGACTG